GCTGGGTCATAGGTACAATAATGCAGCAAATATGTCTAAAAAATACAATCGCGTGTAGGCTTAATATAACTTAGTATAATTTCTCCATGCAGTACTCGTGCTTTAAAGTGCACTAAATGGAAACATTCAAAAGTTGTTCAATTTTTTTGGGGGGGGGGGCTCATTTAAATGGAAAATACTAAAAAAAACTACTCATTGTTCAATTTACTCAATATAAACATTTAGGTGGAGCGTCTATATCGATGCTGTTCATCCATTAGAAAGAAATTATTTAGGAATTTTAAACTCATTTGTTCAATATAAAAATTGAAGCGCATCTGCCAGAAGATAGTCATGCAAAAGTCATTGGTCTGATTGCATGGTAACATTCTTTTGAATTTATTTTGTTAATAACCATCTGGAACAAAGTTTTTAAATGTACTGGTTTTTCAGAGCAAAAAACTTACGAGACATAAAAGGAGTCTTCCATAAAATACGTACGCCGGTATGTGGGAAAGGAATTTCCCAAAAAGTATAAACGCATACAAGGAGGGGGGGAGGTGTTTAGGACGGCGAGTACCTACGAAGTTTAATTCTCGTTCTCTTTTTCTCCTAAAATTTGATTTTTTTTTATAACTAAAGCATTCAATTTCAGAAGTTTGTTTCAATTTCACAAGTTAAGCAACTTTTTTGGCCAAAAGCACCAAGCAACTGTAAGCTCCTTTAATTTTATTTTTAAAATGTTTAGTTTAAAAATACCACACACACACAGAACTAAATAAGCAAATACGAGAAACTAAATAACCAAACACTCGTAACACTATTACTTTTTTTCAATGTTTGTGCTTGTTGGTCTGCTGCAAAAAAAAAAAAAAATTATGTAAATACAAAGTCTACATTTATTATTTAAATTTTTATAACAGAGTTGGGCAATCTGCTGCTTACAAGCCGAATTTGATGTTAAAATTTTATAATGCGACTCTCCAGCTCCACGCACAAATACTATTTTAATATTGAAAACAAGATGTTTGCAGCTCTTTAAAAACTGAACAATTTTTATAAATTATAAACTTTGGCTCTTTCGTCTTAAAAGATTGCCGACATTTGGTTTATACAAATTTGTTATACAAGACTAGACTATTAGAAATAGTTTGCTTTCAATGTAAAATTGGATTAGGCATAAAGTTAAAGTAAACAGGATTAGCACATTCATGGACTCTGCACTGACTGGGCTCTGTGCATAAATTATGATAAATATTTAACATTATCTGGACAAAGACTGTCAACGGGTATACGGGTTCCCGCCGGTTGCTTACTACCTGGGTAGCATTATTAAATGCTGCCCGTTATCTTGAATAAACCAGATGCTACCGTTATCCATCCAAAAACATTATGTATTTCATAATTTATAGATGATTAATTATATTTATGTATTTTAAGTTTGTAATTACTAATCGTATTATAACAACTTTAAAATATAAACTTGTTATGTGGAAGAAGATCTTGAAAATCTGGTTAAAATCTCAATAGCTACGATTTCTTTATCACTGTAAGAAATTCGGAAAACATCAATGAATATTCTCCTCCATAAATGTTATAATGTTTCTCTTTGTTCTTTTAAATTCCGTAACTTAAACTTTTAATTATTGACTGGCATCGATAGGTTGCGTGTATTTAATTTTTTTACCTTTTATAATGCACTTGAAAAAGTTTAAATCAAGAGTGTTGCTTTTTGTTCAGAGCAACGTTTTGTTCAGCCTTTGTAATTTTAAATGGTTATATTTAAAAAATGTTCATAATTTAAAAGTTGAATTATTTTTTTTTCTAAACAGTTTACTTTTAAAACACTTTTTTTTAAATTTGTTAACTACTGCTATCACTACTATTTAAATGTTTTTATTTTTATATTGTATTTTTATCAAGAAGGGGGAACAATAATTGTTGACTTAACTTTATAGGAGGAAGGTAGGGCTCCGATATTTAACAAGTTGTTGACAAGGGAAAGGGTTTGTAAAAATCGCCAGAAAATTGTTGACATGTTAATGGACAGCCCTTAGAAATTAAGTGATTATAAATTCAAATTACAAAAAAATTTCAAAAATGAATTTCGTCAAAAAACTTACTTATTTGCGTCACTTTAAATATTGCACGTCTCATTTTGCTGATTTGTTTATTTTTCTGCAATAGCTCAAGCAAATATTAAAAGTATATTTTTTGAATATCAAAGTATTTTTTTTTTTTTGGTAGAACAAGCTTTGTTTTTAATGCAGTATGATAAATACTTATGTTTATACGAAACCGTAAAACTTTGAAAAATCCATTTGTTGACCAAATTTTTTTCGTTCACAGAAAAAAATCTTCTCAACATGATTTTTATTGTTTCTAGAAGTATCAAGTAAGCCCTTTCGAATAATGCAATTTAAAAAAAAAAAATTTGCCCGCATTAAGTTTTAGGGTTCATGTTATTTCAAGGAATTTCACTTTTGTCATCATTTTGGTTTCAGAATAACTCAGCATGGGC